ATGATGATCCCCTCCTGGTTGTGCTCGTTGGTGGTGATGTCGAACATGGCGCCGCCGTCGCCCGGCACGATGGTGTACTCCACCTCGGCGTTCCTCCCGATGTCCAAGTCGTGCGCTTTGATTCTCCCGACGGCGGATCCCACCGAGGACGACTCGGGAACTCTCAGGTGAAAGAAACCTGTCGACAGACGGAACATCAGACCGGACTCGGGCTCATTTGTTATCATCAGACGGGAAAACACCGAGCTCCTCGCATCCTCCTGTCCTTTATGTATTCACTCGAGGACGTCTTATCCGCCCACAGGCAGAGCAGCTGATATTCTCTGTGTGTGAAGTCGGGCCTGCAGCTATAGGCATGGCATTATTCAATTCTGACGGGTTTGGACATCAAGGCCGCTCAGCTCCTCGTAATTGGCTTGGCTCAACCTGCAAGACCGACAGGCGCTTTGGGCTTTGATACCAGCGAGGAGAAGAAATCTACAAACAAACGAACAAACAAATAAGCAAAGAGCACGTTGACTGATCACCACTTACGCCTGACGGTGGATGGAAATGAATCTTTTCTTCCCTTCACTCTCGGAGACGATGATTATCAGTTTCGAGCGTTAGCTTGTGTGCCGGGAAATGAAAACTTTGCAGATCTCGTGCCTTCACCTGGTGACACCGCAGAGGAGATTGTGGGCAATTTACTGTTCTAATTACGCCTCCGAGTCCATCCTCGGTTCAGGAGACGTTGGGAAATCAACGTGACATTAACTTTGAACATAAGCTCGTGTCAAAGGGCGACACAATATTTATTTGCCGGCTGAATGAGAGAAAGCGCTTCCATTCACTGGACTCCACAGTCACCGCTCTGATCTCCAGACATTCCTCTTTTTTTTAATTAAGCAGATTTCTGAAACAGTTTACCGCTGGAACAAAGACAAAGCCAAGGCCAGGCCAAGAAAACACGGATCCTTTTGATAAAATTGGATTTATTTGGCTGTTTTGGGGATTTAAAAAGTCAAACTTGAACCTGAGCTGAAGACTGGCTGCACAAAAGAGGGCACAGAATGAATGAAATGCAAACTCGGTGCAATATTTGAGTTCCTACGACACGAGACGCTTTCACTGCTGCATATGTCAGCGCACTCCGTTTCATTTCCTATTCCTCTATTTTACGGTGAATCACAGTTTTGGTTTTTCTTTCCCTCCCCTCGCTCGTCTCTCGGTTGTTGATTCAAGGATCGAGGGAGGAAATCCGAGGCCTATGGATGAATCCGGGCGCTATAATTTCAATAAATAATCAAGTACTTTCAAGGGCATGCATTCATTTTTTAAACGTCTTTCTAGGTTCGAGTCCTTTTCAAGGATAGGGAAAAAGAGAATTTTCTTCTTTTTTTTTTTTTCTTGTTGTTAGCTCCGGTGCCAAAAACCAAGAGAGTCGCAGGTTATTAGAAGCCAACAGACAGCTGTTGTACGCCGCCGCCTGCAGGGTTAACAAGCTTCTAGGAGGATGCAGCCAAGCCAGATGCAGGTAGTGTACGCCACTATTAGTAATGACATCTGCAGGCTTTCCATCACGCAGGTTCAGAGGGGGATTGACAGTTCATAAATAAAAAAAAAAAGGCTTCTAGGAAAAGGATTTATGCAGCAGTAATCATAATATAAATGGAATCACCTGATGACTTTTTCCACACGTTTTTATTTTTTTATTTTAAAACCTGTAAGCCTTCAGTCGATGGAAGGAGAGGGGGAGACAAAGAGAGGATTTAGGACAGGGGCAGAGGAGCCGCCATGCTCGGCCCGAACCTCTGTGCTGTGACAGCATTATGGAAATATCATCTTTCCCTCGTAGCCAAAGGAGCTTGACCGTCTGGGCTGAGCGTATTTACATTCAGGGGAGACCTCTCGGTGTCACCTCAAAAATATCCAAAGAGGGCGGCATCAATACAAAGCAGTGTGTTGGGTTTTTTTAGATTAATATTCATGCTGGCTGTACGTGGACAAGCTTTCACAGATCGATGGTTTTTGTGTCGTCGACCTGGCGAGCGGCACAATCGAATTAATCTGGTTTCATCCAAGCTTATATGTGTTTAAACACACTGACTCTCAATCCCAGCATGCCGCGCCGACAACATGCACAAATCTGATCTAAATATAGACGTGGGGTTGCCCCCACCAGCGAAACAACAACAACAACAACAACAAGCGGCCAGGAGTAGTAGCTGCCGCGGATGCAATCACGCTGAATAAACAGGCCGCCGCTGCCTACGACGTAATGACAAATAATGAAAAGCAATTACAAAGAGTAGATATGATGAATACCCCCTGCCCCCCCTCCTCCTGTCGTAATTGGGTGCTGTTTATTTCATTACAAAAAAAGACACACATAAGGTCATAAGTCTGTTTTTCCTTCCACTCACTTTTGGAGAACCGGGGCGGGTTATCGTTGACGTCGCTGAGGGTGATGTTGACGGTGGTGGTCCCGGCCAGGCCTCCCAGCTGACCCCCCATGTCCTTGGCCTGGATTAATACCTGGTACTGTTCCTTCACCTCTCGGTCCATGTTGGGCAAGGCTGTCTTTATCACCCCTGGAGAGATTGATGAGAAATGCAGATAATAAAGAAGAGAGAAGGCAGCAGGGAGGAAAAAAAATAACCAGACTTCAAAAAAAAAAAAAGCACGATGTTTTTCCCACCGTCGCAGCGAGAAGCCGCACATGTGGTCGTCTCTGGCCAAGGCTGAAATAGAGGTCATCTCACAAACTGGAAACACTTGACATTCAATAGGGAGCTCTGGTGAAGCCATATAATGATTCACTTGAGGATCAGAGACCCTGAGATCAGAGAGCGTTTGTACTGCAGATTAATAGCCAGGTCACTGCGAGGTTGGCAGCGCACACACACCCACCTATGTTGCACTTCTCTTATTCCATTTAATGCCCCGTTCTGGACGTATAAACCCCCAAAAATCAAACGATTACTTATTTTTTGCGTCTTATGTTTCCCTCCCTTGGTTGATTCCTTGTTGTCAGCCTTCCCCCGTTCGCTCACCTTTTTACCTCCCGGTGTTTGTTCCCCTTGTTTATGTGCGTTTGGAGATAGCTGCTGCACACCCGGCAGGGCAAACATTTGCTTTAACAGTTTGATTTTTTTCTCCTGCGTCAGTTTGAAATACAGTCACAGTACGCGCTCCGTAAAGCTTGTGGGATGAGCGGCATAATCAGCGACAGATTCCACCGTATCTGGCTGTGTGATGTGTACGAACCTATTTTCATACGCTTTGAACTGTCCCAGATAGGCAGCCAGCAGCGGCTCACTGCCTGCATTTGGAGCAGCCGGCTTGCCGTACCGCTCCCTAAATAAAGACCCCGTTAGAGTTTGGTGATCCCGACTGAAGACGCCATCCAATAACTCAATTTATGCTTCCTTAAATCCATTCACCAAACACAAATTTGACATTTTTTTAACCTCTAACGGTTCGCATTACGTCCTAATGCCTATTGATGAATGCTGCACGCCGTTTGATTTAGCTGCTCCGGTTTTGATGCAATTGACCCCTTCGTTTCGTACCTGTCAGATAAATAATTCAGCGGCGACAGGAGAACACGTGTCCTGTTGTGGCACGCTGATTTGTGGCGGAGCCCCGGGGGTCACTTCTAGAGGTCTATTTTATTCGTCTGATATATGCTCGCGCCGGTCCGCGTGGCGCCGTGCATGCTGATTAGGAGGCACTCAATCATTTCATTCAAGAGTACTGACCTAGATAATTTTTATTTTTCCCCCTGCAAGATTGCCTCACTGCAGCTGGAAGAAGGTACACATAGAAAATGGGGCTGCTTGTTTTCCAACTGCTAAAAATTAAAGATGTTTACTCTCTGAGCTGAACCGGATTCGGCCTCAGAGAGATGGATTTACCTGTTTTGGGATCCACGGAGAAGTAGGGCTGGCCGTGCAGGATGCTGTACACCACCCTGGCGCTGTTTCCATACGTCGGGTCGTCCGCATCCGTGGCTGTTACTTGCGTCACGTACGTCCCTGCGGGAAAAGAGTGGGAAGACATATTGACTTCGACTTAATCGGTTTCCTCGTGAGACCGAAATCCAAACTCTTTGAAGTTCATCAGTTTACTAAACGATCTCATCTGACACTAATGAACGGTGAATCACGACGCCGAGAGAAGAGAGCCACACAGCGACTGATGAACAAAGAGCCTGATAGAGTGCAGCGAGGAGGCGTGAGGACGAGTTTCTTTCTTCTTTCTCCGCATACATCACGTTGATGCACCTGGAGATGTGATGTTTCAAGATCAGACACCTTCACCCAGGTGACCGAGTGGTTGGAAAAATGTAAAAAAAAATGCTCATTTTCTTGGTTTGTTTGGTGTTAGTTTGGTTTTAAATTTGCCTTCTCTCAGTTTTTACTGATGTTGGTTTAAAATGCTGTTAGTTTGATGCAGAAAAGCTGTTTTCTGTTAGTTTTTTTAAACAATGTTGGTTTAAAACATAAAATTATCCTGTGTTTTCTGGTTTGGTTTTGGTTTAAACCAAACTGTAATAAATGGGATTCCATTTAAAATGGAACGATGAAAAATTATCCAATTTAAATGTTTTTGTTTGTTTGTGTGTTTTTGGTTAAAATGTGAAAAATTGGCCCATTTACTGTTTTGTAGGTTTGAAG